CATAGTGATGCAAGATAGCACATTCCTCTGTTCAGCCTTCAGATCCACTATTCTCACTGTATCAGTATTGAATACTATACTAGTTTACTAGTTTGTTACTCTAGTAGTAGTATATAGTGGGTCTGCATATAATGCAAGGGATCTGTTCCAGGTTCCTTCTGGTACCCTATTTTTCTTACCTGAAATGGATGATGAAAGCATCACAACCACTTCCATGGTAGTACTGTAGTAGTAATAAGAACCAGCATCATACAATGGTTCGAATTCTAGCATAGCAGGGTTCAAATCCTCAGTTGACCATGGATCTTCCCCATGTTGGTTGAGCATGAATAAGTCATTCTGTTGCAGAGGAAGGCAAGGGCAAATCCTATCTGAATGAATCTATAAAGAAAGCATCTTAGAGTCACCATAAGTCAGAAACAACTTGAAGACAGATGATAAACATCAACTATAGTAGTTTGCTTCTTTTTTAATCTGCTTATATAAAGGCATGGCAGTGGAAGGAGAAAGGGATGGTCAACATAACTAGGATAGTCTATTGGGTTCCTTCTTCTAACAGCTGAGAGACCCTTCTTCTGTGTACAAAGTATAGCCTCTATGCAGGTAATATCTTCTACGGGTGCATGGAAGTGTGACCTTTGAAAGTTGGATGAGCTGTTCAAACAATTTGAAGTCTGAGATATCAAAAAGTTTACCCAAGGCAGGTGAAACATATTACTCAGCTTCCATTTTCTTTAAGCTGTGATCTCATGGCTGAAGCCAGGGTTGAAGTCTGTGATGACAGAAATATTTACTTGATGCAATGGGGGATGTTTTGACACTCTCTTTCTTTTTTTAAATCTCTTTCCAAATGGATTCTGTAACCCAAGTTGATAGATTTGGAACTCCCTTATAAATACAAGTTGTTGGAATGGGGAGCTATAATAAAGAAGAAATGTGTTTTGAGCTGAGGATTTTACTGCCATGCCATTGAACGAATGTGGCTCTATTTTTTAAAAGGAGATGGAATTACAGTTCATTTCAGGGGGAAGTAGGAAGCTCCAGAAGGGCAGACCAAGGCTTCAAATGTTAAACTTTGTAGTTCTGGCTTTCATTTTTTTTTTTTAATATCGTATTGGGAACATCTAAAGTTTTCCATCAGCACTAGAATCATGCTGACATTTTTCAAGGCAATTTCCCTTGTCATTCTATTGGGACCAGTGATGCTGGTATGGGAGGTGCCAGCAAGTTTCCAAGTCCAGTTTAGAGTTCTGTTTTTGACTTCCATAAGTCTAAATCAGTGGTTGACATTGTTTCCTGCAGCCATAGAGCATTTGCTATCTATCTTAACTAGGGAGGATGATTGGAGAAAATAGCTGGGGCTGCACTAATGGATCAGCAGTTATGCAGGACCTCTCCCCAAACACTCTGAAGGACACCCAGCAGAGGGTAAATTTCAGTTGAACATTGAAAGAAACCTCTTGATGATAAGAGTGCTTTGGGAATATAACCAATTGCCTAAAGAGGTGGTGCAGTCTCTCTCTTTGGATGTCTTCAGAAAGAAGCTGGCCAGCTACCTGCTGAGAATGCTCTAACAAGAGATCCTGCACTGTGGGGAGCTGGACATAATTTCTCATGACACTGCTTCCAACTTCATAGTTTTATGATTCTCAGATTCTTGTTGGTGCCCTGATAGGCACCTTCCTAATTCAGTAGGATGGTTCTGTAATGCTTCGGCTACATAACTAAGTATGCATAAAGCTACACAGCATAGATTGCAATATAGAATTGTAAATAAATAAATTAATACAGTAGGCCCTTGGTATCCACTGGGATTTGCTTCCAGGATCCCCCATGGATATCAAAATCCATGGATGCTTAAGTCCCATTACATACAATGGCATAGTAAAATTGTGTTCCTTATATAGAATGGCAAAATCAAGGTTTATTTTTTGGAATTTATGTGGTTTTTTTTTTTAATATTTCAAAGCCGTGGATCATTGAATACATGGATAAAGGATCCATGGATGCTGAGGGCCAACTGTAAATAATAATAATAAATCTTATTCATGATATCACAACACAGCCTGTTGAAACTGCAGTGGGAATGGGAAACCAGAAAGTCCCCTTTATGCTAGCAGGAGAAACTGAAGCAGACCGTTGGGCCTTGGTCTTTGGGTTTACGAGTATTTCTTCCATTGGGCCTGCGCATGAAATTACATCTTGTTCAGGATTTTTGCTGACAAGGTGAGGGGGGGGGGTTGAGTTTATTTGTTGCACAGATTGAAATGTCATGGCAATGCAATAATTTAGTCACGTTTCAGCGACACGTAATTATTCATAGCTTTGGAAAATGTCACAAGTAATTCCACTTCACATAATAACTTGCACAAGTAAATACTAAAGGAAGAAAAAGAATTCTGGAGACCCAATTCCCTGGGAGAAATATGACAGCATCCGGAGCAAAAAGGAAAACAGCTATTGAGTTGTTAAATTTAGTGTAAGTCAAGAGAGATTAATAGTTATTACAGTGAGAATTTTTTATACACATAGTTTTGTTTTTTTAAAAGAAGAACAAGGCAAGAGATACAGATGTCTAGATTTCCAAGGTGCTATCCAGGGATTTAGCTCTGATATGTTCATTATGCTAATCAGATAGAGCTTGCTTTCCCAAGGAATGCACACATACACACACACAAAAGAAGAATGGAGACTACATTGAATCAGACTAAAAAGTTGGAAAGTTAGAGGAAAACTAAAGTATGACAGATGTATTGTCTTGCTATGAGCAGAGCTGATTCTTTCATTTGGCAATTGCTTCAGGTGTCCAGTGATGGGTGTCAGCAATGGTGACCTTCAGGTGTTCATCCTGAGCTCCGCAGTTTTTCTCCTTTGTTGGAGGATACGGCTGTGATTCTCCCTTAAACTAGACTGTTGTCTTAAGGTGGTGGAGGCTTGTAAGGTTCAACTGCCCATCTGATGTATTTGTATGGCATGGAGGAGGGTGCCATTTTGTTTTCATTTCAGAAAATGTCATGGGACACTGGGGAGGACCATTAGAGAACAGGTGAAGCTGTTGAATATGCAGCCCTCTCAGTCATTGAGACTGGGCAATTCAGAAGTGAGGAGAATTCCAGCCTTTGCTGATAAATGTTGCCAGTTATTCCTAAAAAGTACTCTGAAAAATTGCATTTTCTGAACCATAGCTCTGAAAATCCACCCAAGTAGTTTGGTCACTAGCCATGTAATCTACTGGGAAGTGGCCATGAAGGCATGGGGAGATCATACTCTGTAAAATGATAGCTGGAGTATCACTAGGTGGGAGAGTGGGGTGCCTCAGAGGGAGGTGAACATCCAGTGGTATGGTTACTCCCATCTGCCCCAAGACTCCCCTGTCCATCCTTTCTGCCAGCCAGTGTGCCTCTGCCATCCATCAGCTGCAGCCACTTGTGCCGCTGCTGCCTGGCTGCTCTGTCTAGGTCTGCTGGATCTGCTAGATGGGTCGGGAAGTGAGTTGCTTCCCTTTTCCACCTGGCTAGCAGCTCTGTTGTTGTTAATTGTCCTTGAATTGATCTCAACCCATGGCGACCCTATGTATGAGACATCTCCAAGACCTCCTGTCCTCCACTGCTCTGCTTAAATCCTGCAAACTCATACCCATGACCTCCTTAATAGAGTCCATCCATCTGGCATGTGGCCATTCTCTCTTCCTACTTCCCTCCACCCTTCCCAGCATTATTGTCTTTTCCAAAGAGTCCTCTCTTCTCATGATGTGTCCAAAGTACGACAGCCTCAGTTTGGTCATCTTGGCTTCCAGGGAGGTTTCTGGCTTGATCTGCTCTATTTGTTTGGTTTTATGGTTGTCCACGGGATCCTCAGCACTCTTCTCCAGCCCCACATCTCGAAGGAGTTGATTTTCTTCCTATCATCTTTCATCTAGCAGCTCTGCCAGACCAAAAAAGGATGACAAAGAGAGGAGCCCTGGTGGCACAGTAGTTAAATGGCAGTACTGCAGCCACAATGATGTAAGTTTGATTCTAGAGGAGATCTCCAAGGTCCACTCAGATTTTCATCCTTTCATAGGTCAGTAAAATGTGGTACCCAGCTTGTTGGTGGCAATTGGCTTACACATTGTAAACCACTTAGGGAGGGCTAGTTCACTGACAAGCGGTATAGAAATGTACTTGCTATGGCTATTGCTATAGAAGGGGAGTATTAAAATCACCCTCACTGGGTATCAAATATACTTGACATGCAACAGAGTGGTAGCATAATGTTGCTGACTAGATTAGCATCAGTTGACAATGTCAGTGGCCCTTACTTACATTGGAAACTGCTAGCCAAGCAGCAAGCACATATGCACATGTGGCTTAGTGATCAAATACCAATACTGCAGCCACAATGTTGTGAGTTTGAACCTGCAGGACTCCAGGTTGATTCAGCCTTCCATCCTTTCGTAGGTCAGTAAAATGAGTAGCCAGCTTGTTTGGGGCAATTAGCTAAGACATTGTAAACCGCTTAGAGAGTTTACATAGGAGTTTATCACACGGGAGGCACAGCGTCCTCCTCCAGTCATTAAATCAGATTTAAATCATCATAATTGCACAATTGGAGTTCACACCCCACACTTTTCTCCTGTCCTTCTCCCGTGTTTAAATTGTAATGGAGCCATCCCCCGCGCTTGTCCTGTCAGAAAAGTGTACCACAAGGACTTGTGACTGGGCTCCTGATTCTCATTGTTGCAGCTTTGCTTGCTGGTGGGAACAGACTGGAAACATGATCCTCCATGTACCTTGATTTGCAAGTGAACATACTTCTTTTGTCTGATGTGGTTACTGGCTATTAAGTGAGTGAGGAGATGTTACTTTGTCGTCGTGTGCCTCCAAGTCATTGTTGACTTATGGCAACCCTAAGATGTATCTTAGGGTTTTCTTGGCAAGTTCCTTCAGATTAGGTTTGCCATTGCCATCTCCTGAAGCAGAGAGAGTGTGACTTGCCCAAGCTCACCCAATGGGTTTCCATGGCCGAGCAGGGATTCAAACTCTGGTCTCCAGAGTCATAGTCCAACACTCAAACCACTACACCGCACTGACTCTCACTACTTAGCCATGCTTATGTAACTAAGTGTTGTTGTTGTTGTTGTTGCTGCTGCTGTGTGCCTTCAATCCATTTCCAATTCATGGAGATCCTGAAGTGAACCTATCATGCGGTTTTCTGGGGCTGAGAGTTTATGACTCATCCAGGGTCACCCACTGGGTTTCTATGGCTAAGCGGGGAACTGAATCCTGGTCTCTAGTGTTATAGTCCAATGCTCAAACCACTACACCATGATGGCTCTCATGTAACTAAGTACATGGTGTAAAATATCAGCAAACCAACTGGCCACAGAGAAAAACAGCACAGAAAAGGAAAGGTGGGGAAAAGAATTAAGATTTTAAAAGGTGTTGTCCACCAGTTACATATTATCACACTTTGTCATTCTGCCTTCTGGGAGCTAAGGATGATGAGTTAAATGTCAACAGTCATGGAGACAATTTGCTGCAAAGAGTAAAAATGCTGAGGGAAAAAAAAAAAGCACACAAGTTGCTAAATGATCTAATTGCTCCCAGCAGGCCATTGGTGTCTTACTGAACCAAGCCAAGACTGCCTATGATTAAACATGAAGGTGGAGAAATGGAACCATTGGGGACAGATTTTGTTCATTCAGAACCAGCAGACAACCCTAACATTTTCAAGAGGCTTAACGAAGAATGTTAAGGCTGTTTTATTTTGGTAGCTGTTGCTTACAGTTACAAGTGCTGTGCTCATTGCTTTCAGTGTTAATATTCTTTGTGTCACATTTTAAGTGCACATTATGCAAAGAAAGGTCAGGCTGCAAAACACATTATGCACCAAGCATCTGTTAATTGCAAAACAGCGGAGCTCTTGTGCTAAAAAAATTGGAGGAGCAGGGGTAGTAGGGAAGAATGAGGCTGCATCCGTACTCCAGAAATAATCCAGTTTGACACCATTTCAACTGCCGTGGCTCCATGCTATGGAATTCTGGGATTCCAAATACAGCAAGAGAGCTGGATGTGTTTCCACTCATCCCGCTGCTTTCCAACAACACATACATGGCTGTGTGGGAGGTTACACTGCTGAAAAAGTAAATTTGGAGAAGTAGCATTGCAAGATGCAGCTATACCTCTATAGCTATGTTCCCCGATGCAGGTTCTTAGCCACCACTTTTATAGAAACCTCTTATTTATAATTTGAATGTGAGAGAAAGTGAAGTGGACAATTTTGCTCATCTTTAGGAATGTGTGAGAAATTTATTTCTGCTTATTTTTTAAAATGGAACTTTCACCTGGATGTGATCATCTCCTTCTTTGGATGTTTTTAAACAGAGGATGGATGGCCATCTGTCAAGGGTGCTTTTATACTGTGTTCCTGCATGGCGGAATGGGGTTGGATTGGATGGCCTTTAGAGATCTCTTCTAAATTTGTGATTTTATGATAGGAAGTGAAATGGACAGATCTGCCACCCTTTCTTATAATTCTAGTATTTGCTGACTTAAGTTTTTATTTTTATTTTTTGTGACATTATTGCATTTGGTCAGCTTGACTACCAAATAGGGATGAAAATCTTCATAAATTTCATTCCCCCAGGCAAAAGTGAATTATTTGTTTACAATTTTTCTCCTTCCTGTGTGGAAGTCATCCAAAAATGGGATTTAAAGTAATTCCAATGTAGGAAAACAATTAAACTGATGAAATCAGCTTTGTAGACAGAGGGTCTCAAATGCTGCTTCCACTCCAGGGATGTAATTCTTCCCAGTTTTTTTTCTCAAAGGAAGCAGTAAGTAATTTTAGCAAATTTCTTCTCCCCATGAGAAAATACTTGAAAATTGCAGCTTTTGAAGACTATTCATGGTTCAGGACTTATTCTATATGTATGT